CTCTCTCTCTCTCTCTCTCTCTCTCTCTCTCTCTCTCTCTCTACATCACCTCCAATGTGGGCAGTCCGTCGCCTCACATCAACACATAGTTGTCACCCCGCTTGGCCCGAGCATACCAGCCAGGTTCGCCCGTGCGCCACAGTCTGTCGCGGCCCGCACGTCAACCCCGCACGCCCAACTCTCTCGTCTACTCACCTTCCGAACGTACTTGTTACTTGATCTGTGACGAACCGATTTCTGCACCGCGCGATTTTCTGCGTGATGACAATGAGGGGGCCTTAGCTGGGAAGGGTGGCCCAATTATGGGAGATCGCGATTGGAAGGAAATTGCATCGGTGTCCTCGCTTCTTCGTCCTTTTTCGTCGTCTTCTCGGATGGATGGGTTCGGTCCCGGGTGAGCCCCGAGACGATCGATTGGTTGATTGACTATGTGAGTGGCGCGCTATCATGCGCGCGATTAATAAATGTTGACCTCGTCTCTTTTGTTTCGGTTTCGGACTTTTTAGGTGCGGACTTCGCGTCGGAAATTTGCGTCGTTCTTTTTAAATTTTCTTTTTGAATTCTTCTCAATCTTGTCGAGCCCCGATGGCTCTCGGAATTTCGGACTTTCCTTTCGGAACTTGTGCTTTTCGCTTTTCTGTAGTAGATAAGAATTTAGGAATTTTTGCAATTAGGATCTTCTTTTGCCGCGCAACGCTCTTTGTTTACGCGCTTTTTTATGGGGCTGCAACGGAACTCTGATTAGTCGACGCCTTTAATCAGATGTGTAACTGTAATTTTGGGCGGGCGCCATTGTAAACTGTATCCTTTCTTATTGCGCTTCGTCTTTCCCGCTCTTGCTTTCTCTTGATGTGTCTAGCCATCCCACGGACTGCATGCTGGGATCGATGCGTGGAGAGAGGCTACGTCCCCCATGCCGCGATCTGACCATGCAGAACATAGGTGCTCCCTCTCCTGATCTTCCTTCTAAGTCCTTGTAATTACGTGTTCTTCGCACATGCATGCACGCTTTAAATTCCGGCTCCGCGATTAGTTAGCTCTCTTAACCAGCTAGTGGAAGCTTGGGGTAGCGCGATCAATGAGGGTCGGCTCACAAGCGAAGTAACAGGTGAGTTGAAGTGGGAGTCGGGCGACCCGATGAGCTGGTGCTAAACGCGCGGGGTTGACGCGGGCCACGACTGACTGTGGGCGAGGGCGAACCTGACGGGTGTGGGAGGACTAAGCGGGGTGGCGACTTCGTGGGTTGGTGCACGACGACGGACTGTCCGCATCGGAGAGAGAGAGAGAGGAAGAGGGAGCTGAGGTTGATGGACGCGGATTTGCTGTTTCTTTTGTCTTTTCTCCCTCTTTGCTTTGTATATACATTTTGATATCGGTTCAGGGCGATTTGCCCGTTGTTTTATTTTTTTCTGAATCTTGGCATGATTTTCTCGCCCACACTCGTTTTTGCGATTTCGATCTCGGATGTTGTGTGTGTTATGTTGAATGAATGCAGGTTATGTCTGTTTGCTTTTCCGTATGCCTGATCTTTGCTTTTGCTTATCGTCTCGAAGCCCTCATGAGTAGGGTAGGAATTATGCGTAGTCATCAATACTGTTTCCATTTTTGTTTATCCCTTGATTGAGCTGTTGTGACTGTTGCATCTTGCATACTCAGAAATTACGGAGTGATTAGATGATCGGATATCTGTTTGCCCCGAAACCAGCGGACGCCTTGGGAGGGCGCATGTAAGTGCGATCTGATTGGTGCACTTACACGTGTCCACATGCGCCGACCCGCAACCACCGGAAAGGACTAACGATATCGGGGACATTGCTTGATTGGATGTGGCCATCCGGCGTTTGGAGCGAAGCGATCATCCCATGTGAACACGTGTAAGTGCGATTCAACTCGCGCGGCCTACACGTACTCACACGCGGTGATCGCAATCAACGAGGACATGCCCTTAGGAACTCTGCGGCTCTACGATGACAAAATGACACGCTCCGAGGGCTCTTATTCGTCGTGGGACCCGGAATACTTCACCCCTTGGACAGAAGAGTGCCTCCGACATAGGTTCCCCTGCCTAACCGAGAACCGACTATGTCCTAGGGTGTTCCACTGTGCCACAACCAGCGATCCACGGTGCTCTGATTTCCCCACTTCTGACCACACCCACTACTTTACTTCCCCCGGTTTTGTCGTTATCTCCACTAACTTCCCTCCCTTCCGTCTTCTTCTCCCGTATCATCAACTCAGAGTCGTCCCGTGGAACGCCATAGCCCCATACTAGCCCCGCACGCCCTGCGGAAACTGCGGGTGACGCGACAACCAGAGAGCCCCGGGAACCCGAGGGCCTAACCCTAACGTACGACGACCGGCGCCATGTGGCGACATCCGATGGCTCGACTTATCAGAATCACACCCACCCGGGATGGACCTTTCAACGAACCGCCGTCATCAAAACAGACGGATCGAACGACCTTAAATGACCCGCGCATGCCATCTGCCTGATGACCGGAAGTGGTCCGCCCTCTCAGGCAAATTGCACCCGTGCCCCCGAAAAACTCTGCCACAGGAGATCTCGGTTCTGACCTGGGACTCCACCCCCACTTTCCCAAAAATCCTTGGCACACCCCTTTTCGCACTTCCAGGCCCACATCCCACTCCGATCAGGAAGTCGCGTTGGGTGTGAGGTTGGTATCGGAGTCCGACACGTGGCGGGGTTGTAGGACTAACAGCACGTTAATTAAGCGATCTGGCTAACCGAGGGCGACCTCGACCCCGGAACGCGCCTAGACGCGACCCCGTCGTCCCTAGAAGCAGATCGGCTAATCGACGGGCCGCCAACATGAATGTTAATCAGCAGAACCTTCTGCAAAACCCGAATCCCCAACAAAATCCTAATCAACCTGCACCCCATGCACGAGATCCTATGACGCCACCGGATCTCTATCTGTTTGATCCCACGCATCATCTTGCTGGAGCATGGTTAGCTACGCTCCGAGCACAGCAATATGATGACAACGAAGCTCAGGTGAACATTCCCGCTCGGTTAGGAGGCCACGCCCATCATTGGTTGAGTACCTATGTATGGGTGGATCTTCCAACTTTCGAACAAGACTTTATGAATCGGTTCGACTATATCCATCCAGAACAAGCGCTCTTCATGATTAAAGATCGAGTTCAAAAACCCCTCGAATCCGTTACGGAATATCGAAACCGGTTTTATCGGATGTTCGTGAAAACGGAGCGAGGCGAACAAGTAGGAAGAGATTTGTTTATTGAATCATTGACGAGCTTCACAGCCAAATGATAAGGGCGAAACTGCGAAAACAGTTTTCCCCTATCAATCATACGCTGCAACAAATCATGGCCGCCACAGAAGAGATGGAATGAAAGTTTGTTGCGGGCTTCCTAGAAGGGGAAGACTATTCGAAGGACGGAGACGCGTCCGAATTTGCGAGGGCAAGGGTTGAGCTGGCCGTGTTGCAAAACAAGTTCGAAAACATGGGGTTTGTGTCAGGTCTTGTTACCTATCTGGAGCACATATCCCCTAAACGGTCGGCACCAAGTGTGATCACGGCAATGCCGGTCCCAGTGATGCCGGCCCCTGTAATGACGACGCCCCCGCCACCGACCGAAAAACCCGTACGGTCGAATGAATCGACCGCTATTTTGGAAAAACACCAATTAGCCTAATCCAAGAAAGCAAAAGGGAACAACGAGAGCATAATGCTCGGCTAGAGGCTATGATGAGGAATATGCGGCCCATCGCAGTACGCGTCGCTCCAATCCAACAAGGACTAGCCCCGGCACCTTCTCTCGGAGGGGCCGCAAGCAATCTGAACGTTTGTTATGCGTGTCATCAACCGGGGCATCTAGCTGAGACTAGCTCGTGATTGCCCCCACCGGCCCCCGCAACAGCGGATCGGGGTCGCACCAATGACAGCGGCCCCCATCGCTAATGGACCTGGACGGGTAGGAGCCCTGATGGAAGAAATGGAAGGTGGAGGAAGTGTGTTAGCTACCACGGAAGAGGCTGCTGAGCTCATTCCGTTGGATCAGTATGTGTCACTTGGATACCCGGGGCTTGGAATGATTGGAACAATCAGACGGATTCAGACCCGCGCCGAAACAGAAAGAAGTGGCGGAGTGGCGACCTTTTCCAGGAGAGATGGAGTCGGGAGGACCCACCTTCATCACTGGCGAAATCGATGTGCTGAACATCATTTGAGCCTTAGACCATCGGATTCCACTTCCCATCGGTCATTTGCTCTCGATCTCTGAACAAGCCAATGAGCGGATGCGACAACACTGCAAGGCGAATCGAAAGCGATTTGCCTTCGCCCGAACAACGAACGCGAAAGCTAAAACCCTACGCCGGACGAAAATGCAGTTGGCACCTAGGATCCGATACGGGTAGGATTAATCCAGAAAGACGATCATTTCCTACGGATTAAACCCATCCCTTGGAAATCTGCGGAATGCGACATTGAGATATGGGGAATTCCGTACAATGCAATCATTGATTCGGGAACTGTTGTTTTGGCTATTTCGCTACGGGTAGTTGAGAGGGCGGGTAGGAGACACGATCTAATCATGCTTACGGAAAAGGATCAGCTCGTCTCGGCAGACGAAGAAAAGATCAAAACTATGCTATGAATGACCAACGTCGCTTTTCGATTAGGAAAGCTGCTTGCGTTGGGAGATGTCATGGTATTAGACGTAAACACCTACGATGTCCTTTTCGGCCACCCCGCTCTTGTGGCATTACGAGCAAATCTGGACTTCGGACGATGGTCGATTATCCTCCGAAATACGGGAGGAAAACCCTATGTTGTACCTATGAGGCTGACTCTTCGTACTACCACCAACGCAGTCCCGCGAGTTTCTCCAATGATAGCGGGAACTCTTCGCATGATCACCTGGTAAAACTCCGCAGATGATGAGCCATCATCGAAGGATGCGGATAGCAGTGACAAAAATGATCCGGTAATTCTGGAACTAGCACGACAACGCATTTATTACCCGCCGCCCAAAACGATCACAAGAACGATGCATCTAAGAAGTCGGAATGTACAAAGGACCCATGCGATGATTATGGGAGAGCCTCTCGTACAGATTTCGAGGATGGTTGATTCTTTGGAACCCCCTCAAACCCTGTACAAAGGAATCTCCCCTCTTCTCGCCTGGTACAATGACAAAAAGCACTACTGCGATATTACGAATCTCCCGAAGTCTCTGTTGACACCTGCGAAAGAAGTTCGATTGCTCCGCTTGGGAGCAGAGGTCAATTCTTGGGAACCCGCTGAGCACCACGGAAATGGACTCGGAATCAAGATCGCAACGAAGCTGGTGTCATGGCAAGACATTCGAGACGGAGTAACACCAGAGGAACACGTGGCCATCCGGGAGCAAGATGCACAAATGATGGTCACGGTGTTCTCCTGGCGATCGGATAACCCGTTCATCTTCGCACCTCTGCCAAAAAATGCCAAGCGCATCAATACAAAACATATTGACGTAAGAATATGGGATGAACTGTACGAGTTGCACGTGCCCCAATATGTGCCCGATGAAATCCATCACTTAATCGCCGACATCCTAAAAGAATACAAGGGAGCGATTAGTGTGACAGACACAGACATTGGATTGTCGTTAGTCATACATCACGAAATCCAAACGGGAAATCATTCCCTGATACACTGCAAGCCCTACAGATATTCCCTAGTAGAGCGAAAAAAGGCTCTCGAGCGGATTTGAGAATTCGAGGCAAACGGATGGATTGAGCCTGCCACTGGGCCATGGTCATTTCCGGTAGTATTAGTACCGAAAAAAAATGGATCAATCCGCATATGCATTGATTATCGTAAATTGAATGACATCACGATTAAAGATGTATATCCCCTCCCCCGAATTGATGATTTGTTGGATGTGATTGGATGTGCTAATTATTTTAGTAAGTTTGATATTCGGCATGGCTTCCATCACATCCTGGTTAAGGAAGAAGATCGGCCGAAGACGGCCTTCGTGTTGTTTGAAGGCACGTGGCAGTGGGTTCGATTACTGATGGGGATTTGCAATGCGCCGGCTACGTTCCAGCGAGCCATGAACGTCACGTTCCAGAACTTTGTCAACAAGACACGGCTGACTCAGGGAATGATCAACTTCTGCGTGATCGTGTACATGGACGATATCCTTGTCTACTCGGAGACCAATCATGGACATGCGCATCACATCGAATGGACGTTGGAAGCACTAAGGGATGCTGGGTTTAAGATTGCGCTTGAGAAGAGCGAATTTTTCCTTTCGGAAATTTCGTTCTTGGGCTACATCGTAACACGTCGAGGATTGCGGCCTGATTCAAGAAAGGTCGCAGCGGTGAAAGAAGCTCCTGTTCCTACGTCACTGACGCAGGTTCGAGCCTTCTTGGGGTTAGCCATGTACTATCGCCGCTTCATCAAGGGCTTCGCCGCGATTGCACGACCGCTAACGAACCTGCTGCGGAAGGACCAGCCCCTCAGTTGGGAGGCGGAATGCAAGCAGGCCTTCGCGACCCTCAAGGAAACTCTGGCAACGACACCTATTTGATCCGACCAGACCCCTCAAAGCAGTTCATTCTCATCACGGACTGGCAAACGGAGGCTATTTCCGCTATTTTAGCGCAGAAGGGGAACGACGGTCGTGAACACGTCATCGAGTATACGTCACGAACAGTACCAGACGAGCGAAGGAATGACTCAGCCCCACAAAGCGAATGCTATGCAGTAGTGTGGGGAATCCAACACTTCCATCCGTACCCGTACAGACATAACTTTCTTCTTGTCACCGATCACGAGCCCTTGCTAGTGTTGAAGCGGCTCACCAATTACACGGGCATGATTGGACGTTGGGCGGTGCGCCTACAGCAATACGACTTCGACATCATCCATCGAAAGACGGAGACATACGGTAACGCAGATGGGCTGACACGCCTGCATCGCCCTGCTAAGGTGCCTAAAGCAGAAGAGATCATCCCGTGGAAGGAGCCGGAGCAGGCGAACGGGCCTCTGTATGGACAAGTGGCAGTTCTTCCACGTGGCAAGAAGCAGACCGGTGGCAATGGGTGACGGAGGTAGTCCTGTAACTCCTCTCTCTCCCCTCTCCTCCTCATCTCTTCTCTCGTCGCACGAGCCCATGGCTCGTGCATCCAATACAGAAATGATAGTAAGCCGTGGTTGTGCCCCTTGTGTCGGGTTGATAAGATCCCGACCGAGGCTCGCTTTTTGGATGCCACGTCAGAAGGATTGGAGAAGACCCGGAAGTTTAGAAGGGTCGAAGTATGGACCGATATCGCCTTGATCGCTACTGTAGTGGGTAACCACGTCGAGGATTTCACCAAGGAAGATCGGAGGAGGGCTAACGAAAGGGCTCGGGACTACCGATGGGTTGAAGGACGATTGGAGAAACAAAAAACGGATGGTAGTGGGATTTGGATGGTAGTTCCGCACCCGTTCATGAGGTATGACTAGGTGAAGACAGCACACGAAGAAACAGCTGCCCATTTTGCCATATGGATTACGAAATCGGCAATCGACAAAAATGAATGGTACTGGTCCAATATTCGGGACGATGTGAAATTCATTGTCGCAAACTGTCAAGTCTGCGCTGCTGATAAGGCGCCGATTCAGCCGCCAAGATCGATAGTACCGACGGTAGTTGAGCCGCCTTTTCAAAGGGTTAGCATGGATACTACCGATATTGTGGTACCCCCTGGTCCTAATAGTTGTGAGTATTCAGTCCTGTTGGTATTTTTCGACCATTTTTTGAAATGGATCGAGGTCTACCCGTGTCGCACGCAGCAAGCCGCCGAAATTATGCGGTATGTTAACCGTTTTCTCGGGATGCACCGGGACACAGAAGAGATCCTGACCGATAATGGGGCAGACTTCAGAGGGGAAGTGTTGAGGAATCTGGTCATACACGGTGTCGCTGTGCGGAATACCGCACCCCACATGTCACAATCCAACGGGCTGGTAGAAAACGCAAATAGGGTGATAAAGACAACGCTACGACGAAACATCGCGGCACGGGATCCGAGGTCGTGGCCCGATATCGTCGACCACATCCTGGCGGTCCACCGCGAAACGCCCCACGAATCGACGGGCCTGAGCCCCTTCCAACTAAGGACCAATAGCGTCTCTTGCGTTTCGATACCGAGCCTCCCCGATGAATCAACGCTGAACCGACGGCCCACAAGGGCCACGGTTCGGGACAAGGCCAAACGATACCTAGAGCTAATGGAACGGTCCCTCCCCAGGCTAGCCCGAAAGCGCCAGAAAATGACCGAATTGGCCCACGACTGACGAATCCGAAGCTACGAGGCCCGGAACGGGAACGCAGGTCTACGGCCCCAGTACAAATTGGGGGATATCGTGCAGGTGAGGAAATGTGTTCGCCAAGGTAAGCTATCGCCACGATTCTTCGGGCGATTCCGCGTGATTGAGCTCGGACCGAACGACGTGAACACCGTGCGGCTTGCGCCTGAGGTCTCAGGCAGCCAATCGGCTCGACCGATCATCCGCCACGTGTCCTATCTACGTCCCCTTCCTTCTTCCCCATCTCCGCCTTCATCCATCTCCTCCTCCGCTGAGGAAGAGGACGACGATTGTTTATCGCCTGTCTATCCTTCTTCATCTCGTTCTCTCTCAGATACCCCGTCCCCGCCACCATCGCCATGAGCTTTCTCACGGAGCAAGCCCTCGGCGACCATCTCTTAGCGCCACGAGGTTACATCTCGGCGATTCGGCAGGTTCGTCATCCACGGATCAATTTGGATCTTCTACGACTTGCGCAGTTTTTCTGCACTTCGGGGGAGTACGCAACAGCTGAATTCCGATTTGCGGGCAGTCGCCAAGCGGTCGTGCTGGCAGAAGCAGTAGCCGTCCATCGGCGGTCAGCTCCGGGGATTAGCCACGTGTCCACGGTCGTTGGCTTCAGTGGCGACATCGGTACGATCAGTGCGCTACGACATACGGCCATCCGAACGTCACTAAGGGAGTGGGCGCAGCAGTTGGCGGTCGGGTGGAACCGCAGGCTCACTTGTCGTAGGGATAATCTTTTCCCTACGGACGGCATCGAACTCGGCGGGATTCGAGCCTTCCAACACGAGCCGACAGTGGTGCTTTCCGAACTCGTCCCCTTCCAGCGTCCCCAATGAACAACTCCCAACTCTCCACCTTTGCCCTCCCATCTCTTTTTCCCACCTTCTGGCAATCCAGTGTCCACCCTCGCTTCTCCTTCTGTCTAGAGTCGCTCGCTGTCCCCCTCCTCGATCCCAGGCAGTGGCGGCTCTAGTGTGAGCACTTCAACGATCTTTCCATGTGCCTGGTCGTAGTGAAGCTTACGTGGACGAGGGACGAGGAGCACCGCGAGTGGATCGAGTACCTAGAGCTGCTGATTATCCAGGCCTGGAGGACGGAGGTAGAAGGCGATCTTCTCGGATTCCTCTTCGGATCTGTACAGCCCGGACATCTCCAGTTGATCGTGCACGAGCTCACGATCCCCCTTGCGCAGTTGGTTGACGATCTCCCCCTCGAGATTGTCTCGCAGAGTGACGAGAGCCTAGTTCCGCACGTCCTCGCGTGGACTTTGACGCCATATCTTCAGTGGTCGGCGTGCTTGGAGGAACCGATAAGCGGTCGCAACCCGCCGTCGCAGCGGGATTATCTGGACCCCCAGGAAATCATCGATCGCGCCTTCTTCCAGGATCGAACGGCCTCTGAAGACGAGGAGATAGCGGTTGAAGAAGACGAGAAAGAAGAAGGTGCCGACGAGGACGACGAGGAGAAGACCCCGGAAGAGGGAAGTTATAGCGAACACAGCGAGGGGGAGCAAAGTGAAAAGGAAAAAGAAGAACAAGACAACGAAGAGGAAGAGCTAGAGTTGGAGGAGCCGGAGTGGGAAATCTTGGCGGAGGAAGGAGAGCAAGCGGATGCTTAGGCGGAAGATCCTGAGGCGGCGCGCAAGAGAGAAGATCCCGAGCCAATCAGCAGGTCGCCGACGATCCGGCCCGAGATCCAGAGTCGCCCAAGCCCGAAGATGGGGACCCAGCTGCCGAAACTTCGACCGCACCGACAAGGCGGCGACGAAGCCGATCCCCCTCCCCCTCCACCACCGACCGTCCACCAGTTCGAGCCCGTACTGATGCGGGCCATCGAGCTTCGTCCCAGATCGTTATCCCTCCGTCCGCTTGACCACCTATCCCTCCGTCAAATCACCACCCACGTCACCTTCCCCCGCAATCCCTTCCCCTTCGACACCTTCCGATTCTTCTACGCCACTCGCCTCGCTGTTACTATCCACCCCCATCCCTCGACCCGATGCGCCCTCCCCGATTTCTGCCTCCACATCCTCCTATTCAGTGCCGCATGGCGAGGCCACAACATGATCGAGGTCTACTGCATGATTACGGGGACTATCCCCGCATGCGAAAACCATGATCACTTTCGCACTCTTCCGCACCTTTACCACCTTGTACCCTGACTACCTCGCCTCTCTCCCTCACACTGGTAATCGCTTCCCCCGCTTTCATCGTATCGTTCGTTATCAAGAGCTTCCGGAGACGGTGGAAGGGATGGAACGATTCTTACCTCCACTTCCCGTCAACCCTCCCCCTCGCCATGCCCCCATGTATCATCTCCCCTTTCCCCTTCCCGGTGGACAGTGATGATTGGTGATCGGTTGATTGGTGAATGACCCCCTTCTTGGAATGATAAGAGCCCTCCTGAGGAATTAGTAAGACAGAGCTTGCATGCCACGATGGATGATGACCACATTCTTTCACACGGTAAGTGGCAATGCAGAAAGCTCCGCGTGTCGATCGATTAGAGAAATCGACACGTGTCAAGATTCAAGCAAGCAGGAGCTTGCTTAAGATTGGAACCCCCTGGGCGTCACATATGTGACGAACCGATTTCTGCACCGCGCGATTTTCTGCGCGATGACAATGAGGGGTCCTAAGCTGGGAAGGATGGGCCAATTACGGGAGATCGGGATTGAAAGGAAATTGCATCAGTGTCCTTGCTTCTTTGTCCTTTTTCGTCGTCTTTTCGGATGGATGGGTTCGGTCCCGGGTGAGCCCCGGGACGATCGATTGGTTGATTGGCTGTGTGAGTGGCACGCTATCATGCGCGCGATTAATAAATGTTGACGTTGCCTCTTTTGTTTCGGTTTCGGACTGTTTAGGCGCAGACATCACGTGGGAATTTTGCGTCGTTCTTTTTAAATTTTCTTTTTGAATTCCTTCGAATCTTGCTCAGCCCAGATGGCTCTCGGAATTTCGGACTTTCCTTTCAGAACTTGTGCTTTTCGCTTTTCTGTATTAGGTAGGAATTTAGGAATTTTTGCAATTAGGATTTTCTTTTGCCGCGCAGGGCTCTTTGTTTACGCGCTTCTTTATGCGGCTGCAATGAAACTCTGATTAGTCGACTCCTTTAATCAGATGTGTAGCTGTAATTTTGGGCGGGCGCCATTGTAAACTGTATCCTTTCTTATTGCGCTTCGTCTTTCCCGCTCTCGCTTTCTCTTGCTGTGTCTAGCCAACCCGCGGACTGCATGCTCGGATCGATGCGTGGAGAGAGGCTACGTCCCCCACGCCGCAATCTGACCATGCAGAACATAGGCGCTCCCTCTCCTGATCTTCCTTCTAAGTCCTTGTAATTCTGTGTTCTTCGCGCATGCATGCACGCTATAAATTCCGGCTGCACGATTAGTTAGCTTTCTTAACCAGCTAATGGAAGCTTGGGGTAGCGCGATCAGTGAGGGTCTGCTCACGAGCAAAGTAAGAGGTGAGTTGGAGTGGGAGTCGGGCGTCCCGATGAGCTGGTGCCAAACGTGCGGGGTTGACGCGGGCCACGACGGACTGTGGGCGCAGGCGAACCTGGCGGGTGCGGGAGGACTAAGAGGGGTGACGACTTCGTGGGTTCGTGCGCGACGACGGACTCTCCGCATCGGAGAGAGAGAGAGAGAGGAAGAGGGAGCTGAGGTTGATGGACGCGGATTTGCTATTGTTTTTTTGTTTTCGGAATCTTGGCATGATTTTCTCGCTCGCACTCGTTTTTGCGATGCTGAATGAATGGAGGTTACGTCTGTTTGCTTTTCCGTATGCCTGATCTTTGCCTTTGCTTATCGTCTCGAAGCCCTCATGAGTAGGGTAGGAATTCTGCGTAGTCATCAATACTGTTTCCATTTTATCCCTTGATTGAGCTGTTGTGATTGTTGCATCTTGCATACTCAGAAATTACGGAGTGATGAGATGATCGGATATCTGTTTGCCCCGAAACCAGCGAACGCCTTGCGAGGGCGCATGTAAGTGCGATCTGATTGGCGCACTTACACGTGTTCACGCGCGCCGACCCGCAACCACCGGAAAGGACTAACGATAGCGGGGACATTGCTTGATTGGATGTGGCCATCCGGCGTTTGCAGCGAAGCGATCATCCCATGTGAACATGTGTAAGTGCGATTCAACTCGCGCGGCCTACACGTACTCACACGCTGTGATCGCAATCAACAAGGACATGCCCTTAGGAACTCCGCGGCTCTACTATGACAAAATGACACGCTCCGGGGGTTTAGATTCGTCGTGGGACCCGGAATACTTCACCCCTTGGATAAAAGAGTGCCTTCGACAGAGGTTCCCCTGCCTAACCGAGAACCGGCTGTGTCCTAGGGAGTTCCACTGTGCCACAACCAGCGATCCACGGTGCTCTGATTTCCCCACTTCAGACCACACCCACTACTTTACTTCCCCCGGTTTTGTCGTTATCTCCACTAACTTCCCTCCCTTCCGTCTTCTTCTCCCGTATCATCAGCTCAGAGTCGTCTCGTGGAACGCCATAGCCCCATACTGGCCCCGCACGCCCTGCGGAAACTACCGGCGACGCGGCAACCAGAGAGCCCCAGGAACCCGAGGGCCTAACCCTAACGTACGACAACCGGCGCCAAGTGGCGACATCTGACGGCCCGACTCATCAGAATCACACCCACCCCGAATGGACGTTTCGACGAACCACCGTCATCAAAACAGACGGATCGAACGGCCGTGAATGACCCGTGCAGCCTTATGACCGGAAGCGGTCCGCCCTCTCAGCCAAATTGCACCCGTGCCCCCGAAAAACTCTACCATAGGAGATCTCAGTTCTGACCTGGGACTCCACCCCCACTTTCCCAAAAATCCTTGGCACACCCTTTTCGCACTTCCAGGCCCACATCCCACTCCGATCAGGAAGTCGTGTTGGGCGTGAGGTTAGGGCGTCGCATGCATGCTTGCACGAGAAACCTGGGATTATGCCTACGTGAGAGGAAGGGGAAGAGAAGGAAGTGCCTACGTCTGCATGGTCAGGCTGCGATGTGGGGGACGTAGCCACACTCCACGCATCGATCCGGTCATGTGGTCGTTCAAGCCAATTAGGATGGAGGACGAGGTATGCGCAACAGAGAGGGAGAAGGCGGGAAAAACATGAGAGAACCAAGAAGAAGAAGTATAGTTACAATCACGCCCGCCAAAAATTATGGTGACACTTTAGATTAAGGGCGCGATACAGTCAGAGCCCAATCCCCACCGCGGCGAGACGTGCGTAAGCAAAAAGCGACGTGCAGCAAAAATTTGTAAGGTTCTTAAATTTCTGTCTACATCCTAGTTTACAAAAAGAAATTCCGAAACGAAAACAATTCCGAGAGCCCGCGGTGCCTCGACATCGGTTTGAAAATTTGAAAACAACGTTTCCGCACGACGATCGCGCCAAAACTCCCAGTTCCCACAGCAGAACAAGAAAGAAGCTATGGCAACAGTTATCCTTTCGCGTCCGCCAAGGCGTGGTCGTCTTAACTGTTTACCCAGGACTTTCCCGACCCTCGTCCGAAAGTCCAAAAAGAAAGAAGCGAGGGTATCCATGCAACTTGCCCGACCGACCCATCCCCATGTTCCTCTCCCGACCAACCCATCCGAACCCGTGAAGCAACTTCGCGCAGAAAGCCGCACGCTTACAAAAAATAGTTCGTCACACCGGGAGTCCATCAACCAAGGCCCCCCCCCAATGTGGGTCTGCTGTCCAGCATTGTGTGCAGCTGTACATATGTGTGGTCCCAACAGTGTCGTACCCCCGTTCACGGGGTCGGTGAACAAGGGCCGGTCACTGGTCACGAAAACCGTGATCGGTGGTAGTTCACGGAGTTCATGGAGAGCGGGATGGTTTTTTTTTTTTTTTTTGGGGCTGGGGGGGGTGTTTTTTTTTTTATAGGAGGGTGGGGGTCATCGCAGCGTAACCCCCCATAATTTTCTCAAAATTTTTTTCACGAATAATATTTTTTTAATTAAAAATGAAAAACAAAAAAATGCAGCCAGCCAAAATAAGCATTTTTGTTTGTTGTTTTGTAGGTTATTTTGATTTTGTTTTATTTTTTTAATGTCATCACGCTGTGGGGCTTGAGGCGACTGTAGCTGGGTGAGCCCCCCCCCCCCCCCCCCCCCCCAAAAAAAAAAACACCGCTCTTTCGTGGTCTTCCCGTTCACAGGCGCAGGGCTATATGACCAGCCAGTCACGTGCACGTGACCAGTGCCGGTCACCGCCGGTCACCGGCAGTGGGTCCCAATACTCCTCCGAGCCTTGCGGGTGCTGCAACTTTAAATGGTCCACAAGCCAGTCAGCGATTCCTCTCAACTTTCCATCCAGGTCCATTTCTTCAGGTGGGGCTTCGGGGTCTGATTGTTTGTCTGTCATTACAACATCTGGGGCGGAGGGGAGTGTGTCTACCTCCATAGCTGTGGTCCGAAGGCATCAGAGAAGGGGTCAAGAGTCCTTGTTTCCTTGGGGGGGGTCCCTGGTTTCACACCTCCCTTTTCTTCCTTCCCTGTTTGCTGTCCTGTAGAAAATGCCCGCGGTTCTTTTCCTTCTGGCACGCTTGTTGAACCATCCTCTGCGGCCCTAGTTTTCGGGGTTCTTCTCGTTCTCTGTCCCGGGCTCCTGGTCCCGCAGTAAGAGAGGGGGGGGGGGAGAGGGACATCCTGCCCAACCGTTTCCTTTT